CGTCCCCCCCCCCCCCCCCCGTTTAGCTGTAGAGATAAGAAAGAGAGAGTTAACGCGCTGCCTTCTTCCAGCTAGGAAGTGTTCCTCTCTTTCCACTGCTGAGACTGCTCCGACCGAAAAAGGCCTGAAATCCTTGCCTAATAGGCCAAAGAAAATATAGGTTACTGGGTTTGTTTTAACCTGCGCACATGGGAAGGCATTTTGGCTGTCTGTTTGGGAGCTGGCCGGCTCGTGTAAACAAGGTGCTGCATTTCAGAGCCTGATTTTTTACCATGTCCGCGGCCGAGTGGCGGGATGCCTTACTTCCAGCTACCTTTCCTCACGTCCCTTTCTTTTTTTTCATTCGAGATTTAATGCCTCCTTAGAAAAGATAAGTTCATTTTTGCACACCTTGGGGTGGTGTGTTCATTTTCTGCCCAAGAAATGGATCTTCTTTCGGATTTTGTACATCTTGATTTATTCTTGGCTTATAGTTTGAAGTGGGTGCTCTTCTAAAAGGATTTATGCATAGGTTCACTATTTTTGTAGTTATGGTTTATATGATAAGCTTTTTATATTTAAAATCAATATGTAATCCTGTGGAGGAGCTTATCCTCTAAAACCCCATTTGTAAATCTATTTTAGCTTTGTTACACCGCGCAGCCACAGTATTCCATAGATTGATTAGGTTCAGCAGCAGAATCCTATCAAATGGCCTGCTCTGATGATGATGCAAACTCTTTCAGGATTGCTAGTTGACTGGAACTAAAGATAAGACCTGACTGCAATCCCCCAATGTGCTCTTTACAAAAATAGTGTTAATTTTCATCAAAGTGCCGGGCTTATTTATTATAGTGGCGAGGTTGAAGGTTTTACTACGAGAACTTTCGACCATTTCTATTAAAGCATTTCTATGGGAACTGGCCGCCTGTTTACTCAAAGTAATTATCAGTTTAAGCAGTGGGGGGAAAAAAAAAGACAATATGAAGTCAATGAAGATGAATAATTGAAAACATTTCTACTTTAATGTGAATTTAGCAAACTCTGTCATTTTAAACTGCCCGTCGTGAGCGGTGGCACGGGGGCTTTAGCTTTCAACACTTTTAGCTCATATACAGCCTCAGAGCTTAATCCTATTTTTGTCCGGAGTGTAGCTTTTATAACAGTATTACTCTGAAATCTTCAAATTAATCACAGCCCATATTGTAGCTTCCCAGAGCTGCAGTCAGCCTGGGTAACTATATGTGACAGGTGTTATAGGTAATCCTGGCTTAAAAGGCACAACAGGTAGGAATCAAACTTGAACACAGTTGCTTTTTTAAACATAGGGATGCTTCCCGAAACTGCTGCCCGGCAGTATTTTGTTGGATAAAACAAAATTGCGATGTAATCACATATAAAATGTTATTTAAATACTTTATGCCGGTTCCTCTTTTAACCAATTGCTACTTGACTGTGTTT